TACAGAATGTACATCTCTTATTAAATGTTAAGGATGTATAGATAATTATGAATTGGTATAATAATAATGTTTACCTATTTGTTCAGCTAATTGCAAAAGTTGTACTTAACCATTATCATGTGATGTTTGTTAGACAGATTATTATAGTGATGATTCATTTAATTGTGTAAGTTTATCTGGTTTACCTATTGAAACTTAATTAGATAATACATTTAATTATGCTGAGAATTTACCTAGAGTTGCTTCTTTTTTGAATGGTGGTAGTGTTATTGTTTGGTAAAGTGAATTATAAGATGGAAGTGGTTATGGAGTTTATGCATAATTGATTAGTCCAGAAGGTATACCAGTTAATCAGGTTATTCGTGTAAATATTAATACAAAAAATTCTTAATTTTTACCTGATGTCACTATTTTACCTAATAATAATGTTATTATAGTTTGGGCAGATGGAGATATAAAAATTGAATCTGAACTTTATTTCTAAATATTTGATTAAGAACTAAATAGAATAGGAACACCAACATTTATAGATTATATGACTCTTTATTATTAATAATATTATGATAGACCATTAGTAGTATAAGGATTGAGTAATAATGAATTTGTAATTGCATGGATCAATAGTAAAAACTATTAAACTTCAATTTTTGTATCATTATTCAATAGTGAAGGAGTACAAAAAAGAAAAAATGAAATTAGTAAACCTTATTTCAACAATGAAATTGTCATTAATTCTAATGGTCTCAATTTTGTTGTTGTTTATAAAGATGCTGATCAATTAGCAGCTACAATATATGATTTTGAAGGTTTTGAGTTAACAAGTATAACTCATCCAATTTATGGAATATCTTCACCAAGTATTACTTCAAATTCAAAATAAGAATATATTATTTGTTGGAGTGCAAATAATAGAATTTATTATTCTCTTTTTGATACTAATGTTAATCTTTTAGGATCTATATTGGAAGTAGAATCTTTGAATACTAAAGCAGATAATCCAGATATTACAGCATTATCTAATGGTTTTGTTATTGTTTGGTAAAATTAGGATTTAGAAACTTTAAGATCAAGAAAATTAAGAGCATAGATGTTTGATACCAATGGAGTTCCTTTAGGATCATCAATAGAAGTTAATGTATTGACAATTAATACTGAATATCCTTAAATTTCAGCTTTGAATAATGATAAATTTATAATTATTTGGGATGGATATAAACCATCAGTAAATGAGAAAAAAGGAATATTTATGATGAAATTTGGATCTGATGGTTCTAAAGAATTGATAGATGGTATAGTATGTCCAAATAAATGTAAGAGTTGTTCTTCATCAACAACTTGTATTAAATGTTCAGATCAATATTTATTAGTTGATGGACTTTGTTCACCTTAATGTACTTCAAATTGTAGTCAATGTACAAAACCTAATTTCTGTGATTTATGTCAAGATGGATATAAACTTAATCCATCAGGATTATGTTCTACAATCACTTCTGATTTATTACCAGAAGATCCTATTTTAAAAACTCCATTTGATGAATTACCTAGTTTTTCATCTAGTGCTACTATTGGAGAAAGTGATGTTTTAATATATTCAGGAACAGTCACATTTTAAAATGATTCTTATTTCTTGAATATAAATCTATAATTGATTCAAAATTCAAATCAACGTGAATTTTCAAATTCAATAAAATTAGTATCATTGAAGTCTTAGATTGTATCATCTGATATTTTAATTAGAGAAGATAATTCAATACAAATATATTGGGTAGAATATATAGAATAAGAATATGTATTAATAAAATTGATAACTATTAGTTATGAATTAACGATTATTGAATATGAAAAATAGATAGACACATTACCTTATTATGCAAATTATATAAATTTACATGGTGAATTTGTTCTTTATTTATATTATTAAAATAGTCATTATTAGGTTATATATTCACATAGATCAGATTATTTGAAATATGAAGTATACTAATATAAAATAAGTAAAGATTATTTAAGAATTTATTTGCCTGAAAGACTTTTGGAAATTCAAAGATAATTAAGATATGGATAAATTTGTTTCAACTTTGATTCCATTATTATTATAGAAATTAATTAAGATTATCTTATGAGATTATATCATTATAACTTAGATTTCTAATATGTTAGATCATCAGAAAACTAATTTTCTGTATAGTTTATTGTTTTTATAGAATCCTTCACTATAAAACAACTTAAAAATAGTAACTTTGTTATTACATGGAGGACAGGTTCAAATTAATCTTTGACTTCTAGGAATTAACTTTATTATACTATACTAAATAGTGATCTTTAAAGAATTACTGATTATTAAATAGTTGCTGATTCAAATGGAAAATTGGAGAATCCTCAAATGATAATTTTATAAGGTAAATTTGCTATAATATGGAATAATTTCATTTCTATTACATATTCATAATTGAGTATATCATTTTATGATGAATCAGGAATATTTATATCTTAAACTTAACAATTGAATACAATTAGTAATAATGTTAAATTATACTATGCAAAAGTTATCAATATCAATTAAATAGCTATACATTGGCTCTCCTCTTATACAACAGTCACTTTATAAATAAAATATTAATATTATTATTTGAGAGTTACAGATCAAAATGTATTACTACCTTCTCCAACTCTTATTTGTTTAGTAGAATGTGGAACATGTTAAAATGAATATACATGTTAAACTTGTATTAATAATTATGCTTTAAATCCAAATACATATAAATGTGAACCTTAATGTCCTGAAACATGTTTAGTATGCAGTTCTCCAACAATATGTTCATCATGTAAAGAAGGTTATTCAATTAAATTAAATAATTAATGTGAAAAGAATATATGTAAAGAAAGTTGCTCATTATGCAATACTTTCCAACATTGTTTATAATGTCCTAAAAACTTTTATTAGAGTCTATAAGATATGACTGAATGTATTGGAACATGTGGACCCCATTGTTCAGTTTGTACAGCTCCTCCTGTTTGTAATTAATGTGAAGATTCTTATTATTGGAGTAAAACAAAAACTGAATGTGTTTTACTTGAAGATGTAATTGGTGAAGTCAGCATATCTGATCCTTTAATTGCAACATTCCCTAATGGAGATTATATTGCTTTATGGTCTGAAGAAGGACCATTTGCTGGTGTATATTTCTAATTGTATAGAAAGAGTGGACAAAAGATAGGAACTAAAACCTAAGTAAATATGGATGAATTAGGAACTAGAAGATTTTTATAATCTGTATCCACTAATTAGAAAGTAAAAACACTTTTTTCAGATATAGCTACATTTGATTAAGACTTTGTAATTTTATGGGTAGATCAAATTGTAGGAGACATGAAAGTAAATCTTAAAAAATTTGATGTCAATGGTCAAGCTTTAACAAAATCAATTTAATTTGCTGAATTACCAAAATAAAATCTAGATAGCATTGCAGCTCCTTGCATTATTAAAAAAACATCAAATAATAATTTTGTTATTGGTTATTTCAATTAAGTTTAAGATTCTATTTCTACAGCAACTATGTTTTTATAATCCTTTAGTAATAATCTACAACCTATTGGATAAATGTAGGTTTTAGATAATGCAGATACTTCTAAAGTACCTATGATATCTAGCGATGATGATGGTTTGATATCTATTACATTTTCAAGTGAAGGTGCTACTTTCATAACTTAAATTACAACTTAAGGTGATATCATTACAGCACCTTAAAAAGTTGATGAAGGAAAAGCATTCAAATCTACTAATTTGAAAAATAAATCTATTGTTTTTGTCTTTGAAGCTGTTAGCACTAATGTATCACCTCCTTAATATATATTATCATATCAAATCATGAATTTAGATAAAATTTTATCTGAACCAAAAGTATTTGCTAATCCTTCTTATGGAGAAGAACATCCTTATATTACAGCATTTGGGTAAGGTTTTATTATTGCTTGGAGAACAGTTGATAAATCTCTAAAATCTAAGGATATTGTATTTTAGATATTTGATAGTGATGGACTATAAATTTCAAATTAAACTTAGGTTAAGAGATAAGGACTTTATCCAAAAAATCCAAGTGTTTAAATTTTAAATGATAATGAATTTTATATTACATGGACAGCTGCTGGTAATAATTCAGTAGACAATTTCTATTTACAATAGTTCAACATATCTAATCTAATTATTCAAAATCCAATCATAGAAAATAATCAAACATCTATTATATGTTCATTGAATTGCTTATCTTGTTTGAGTAGTACTATTTGTTAAAATTGTGTGTCTGGATACTATGTTGAAAATGATTTCTGTTAAATAGATTGTGGATTAAATTGTCTTTCATGTTCAATTCCAAATTAATGTTAAGAATGCATATTAGGATATGAAGTTACCCTCAATCAAACTTGTGCCCAAATTGAATGTGAAGTTGGTTATACACTCTCAGATAATATGGAATGTGTTCTTATATGTCCTCAAAATTGCAGTGAATGCTAATCTAATGATAAATGTTTGATATGTGAATCTGAATTTTAATTATACTAAGGGCAATGTTAAAAATTAGTAGATATTCCAAAAGAAGATGATACTGGGTTACCTTATTATTACATTATCATTATTTGTTTAGGAGCACTTATCATTATAGGTATTATCACTTTAGGCATCTGGAAGTATAAAAAGAGAAAGCCATTTTAAAGTAATTAACAAAGAAATGTGATTGAAGAAAGAGACATCACATCTTTGGAGTCTAGAATCAGTTGATATTAACATACAATATAAGAAAATATAAAATAATATTTTTAAATTTTAAATCATTTTAAATGATTTTCTAATACAAATTATAGATTTATTATTTAATTTGTATTATAAAATTTCTGGTTGTTATAAAAAATTAACAAACTAAAAATCATTATAAAAAAAAAGAAATTTTTGTATCATAAATAACCATTATAAGTTTATTTAGTATATTTTAAATTAATTTTAATCATTTTATTTCTTATATTTTAATTTTGAATTTTTTCTATTATTCTTATGGTTATGATTATTATTATGGTTATTATTATTATTATTATGGTTATTATTATTATTATTATTATTATTATTACTATGCAATAATTGGGGAATTTTATGGACTAACTTATGATTATAATTGTAGAGTTTATGGTAATTCACCGACAACAGTGTGATTAATTTGTTAATTATAATTTACTTATTGAATTTTAATTGTTTTTGTGAAATATAATTAACTTATTTATTAACGTAGTTATTCAGTTGTTGGCCTATCATTAGGATTTCTTTTTAAACAACTACTAATTATTTTAATAAATTCTTGAGGATATTAAGTATGAGCCAAAAATTAAAATAAAGATTGTTCACTATAGTAAGAATTGTGTTCTTCATCATTTAAGTGTTTACAACCTATTTGTTAATTTCCAATATAATTGCCTTTATTGGCAACGGTTAAAATTATTAATGCATACTGAAAAATATCATATTTTAAGGAATAAAATGTTTCAGGAGCATCATATTTTTAAGTATTGCTCTAACGTTCAAAAGTCATTTCATCATTTGTAAAACCTTCTATTGATTTTGAACGATCAAAATCACCTATTGCAATATTAGCTTCTTCCAAATTTTAATTATCTAAGAATAAATTTTCTGGTTTCAAATCTCTATGCATAATATTCAACTTCTATAATTCCATAAGAGCTATTTTAATAATTGATAATTACAAGTTAAAAATCTGAAGCTGATTTGAAGAACATTTCGAATCTATATTTTTTAATCTATTTTTTAGGATTTCCAATTTGTTAATTTATCTGCAAGAGTACCATAATATTTTCTCATGAAAATAAATACGTATTCATTTATTCTCAAATAAGCAAATCCATTAACAATAAATTTTTTATTATATAATTTTTCTAAAAATTCAATTTCTCTTTATGTATTAGTTTAATAAAATTCATTATTGACTATAATTCTTTGAGTTTTGTAAACCATTTCTTAATGATTATTTTTATCTGCCAAAATAAAACTTTTAGGTCTAGCAAAACACTTTACTACAGATTGATGACAATCATATATAGTTTCAAATTTATTAATTTTGAATAAATATTAAAGTAAATTTTGATATGGAGTATGGTAGTGATCAATTTAATCAAAATTCCCATTAATTTTTAAAAGAAATGTAATAATAGGTTTAAAAGAATTATTATCTTAAATTACAGCAACAATTTCTTTAAAANTAAAATTTCTGGTTGTTATAAAAAATTAACAAACTAAAAATCATTATAAAAAAAAAGAAATTTTTGTATCATAAATAACCATTATAAGTTTATTTAGTATATTTTAAATTAATTTTAATCATTTTATTTCTTATATTTTAATTTTGAATTTTTTCTATTATTCTTATGGTTATGATTATTATTATGGTTATTATTATTATTATTATGGTTATTATTATTATTATTATTATTATTATTACTATGCAATAATTGGGGAATTTTATGGACTAACTTATGATTATAATTGTAGAGTTTATGGTAATTCACCGACAACAGTGTGATTAATTTGTTAATTATAATTTACTTATTGAATTTTAATTGTTTTTGTGAAATATAATTAACTTATTTATTAACGTAGTTATTCAGTTGTTGGCCTATCATTAGGATTTCTTTTTAAACAACTACTAATTATTTTAATAAATTCTTGAGGATATTAAGTATGAGCCAAAAATTAAAATAAAGATTGTTCACTATAGTAAGAATTGTGTTCTTCATCATTTAAGTGTTTACAACCTATTTGTTAATTTCCAATATAATTGCCTTTATTGGCAACGGTTAAAATTATTAATGCATACTGAAAAATATCATATTTTAAGGAATAAAATGTTTCAGGAGCATCATATTTTTAAGTATTGCTCTAACGTTCAAAAGTCATTTCATCATTTGTAAAACCTTCTATTGATTTTGAACGATCAAAATCACCTATTGCAATATTAGCTTCTTCCAAATTTTAATTATCTAAGAATAAATTTTCTGGTTTCAAATCTCTATGCATAATATTCAACTTCTATAATTCCATAAGAGCTATTTTAATAATTGATAATTACAAGTTAAAAATCTGAAGCTGATTTGAAGAACATTTCGAATCTATATTTTTTAATCTATTTTTTAGGATTTCCAATTTGTTAATTTATCTGCAAGAGTACCATAATATTTTCTCATGAAAATAAATACGTATTCATTTATTCTCAAATAAGCAAATCCATTAACAATAAATTTTTTATTATATAATTTTTCTAAAAATTCAATTTCTCTTTATGTATTAGTTTAATAAAATTCATTATTGACTATAATTCTTTGAGTTTTGTAAACCATTTCTTAATGATTATTTTTATCTGCCAAAATAAAACTTTTAGGTCTAGCAAAACACTTTACTACAGATTGATGACAATCATATATAGTTTCAAATTTATTAATTTTGAATAAATATTAAAGTAAATTTTGATATGGAGTATGGTAGTGATCAATTTAATCAAAATTCCCATTAATTTTTAAAAGAAATGTAATAATAGGTTTAAAAGAATTATTATCTTAAATTACAGCAACAATTTCTTTAAAAACTTAGGCAAAATGATTCAAAACGAATTTTTTAAATATTTCAAATTAAGATTATGTAAAATTTGTATTTACAAAGTCATATTCAATTAAAGAAAGATAAACAAGGCCTTCATAGAAATATAATTAATGAATAGAATTTAAATTCCATCTTAACTTTCGATTTTCTAATTCAGCAAATACTAAGTGTAAATATAATTTTACATAAGGCTAATTATAATACCACTATTTTGGCTACATTATGATCTATTTGACTTGATTATAATATGTGTTATTAATAATCTGGATATATTAAAGTATGAATATTTTTATATTCCAAATATTCTTCATAGGGAAGGATGTTCATGAACCTAAATTATTTTAGTTTTTCAAATTCTTGATTTGTCATATTCATCTGTTTTAAAGTGAGAGATATTTATTCATTATTATCATTTTTAATCTTTTTGATTTTTTTCTGATGATCTTCATAAACTATAAAAGAAGTTTGTTAACTAAATGACATTATTTAGTATTATAATCTATTTTCTATTAATTTTATCAATAAGAATCAAAATAATAACTGACATTATATAAAAGAAATCTATAATATATAACAAAAATCATTAATTAGACTATTATATTGTTTAAAAGTTGTAACACTTTATTAAGATTTATTATCTTTAGAGAATATATTTAAAAAATATATTGAATATTATACTTTTCATATTAATGAAATAAGCTTAAAAATACTAATTAAAATCAAAAATAAAATAACTATATATACTTACGAGATTTCTTAACTTTGAATTTCTTTCATTTAAGTATTTTGAATGAAGATTTCATATAATTGAGAAATCAAAAGTATATAATTTGATATAATATAATCGTATTTTTTATCAGTTCAATAATCTAAATCTATCATATAAGAATTTGCAATCTAATTAGTTAAACAGTGTCAAGTCTATTAGGAGTCAACCTTAAGAATAAACACATTTTATAATATTTCCATCTTTAAAAATTTATAGACTCTTTTTGTTTTCTTTTTTGAGTATTTTGAAAAATCAAAAGTTTTAGTTTCACTCTATTAATTATTATATTATGAAATTTCATCTACTTCTACAGACTTCTTGATATTATTTCTGTTATAATATAGGTCAATTATTTTTAAATATAATTTTTAGTGCATCATAAAAGTTGAGGCTTTTATTTATATTAAATATTGAAAAAATGGAATCATTATCATGAAATAGATTTAATATTCGAAAACTCAGACCAAAAATAAAGATAAAAATGGTATGAAATATTTTTCCAATTAATGAAAAAAAATTAGTTTAAAAGTAATCTAATAAAAAATATTTATTATAATTTGTATTTAATGTAAAATAATTAATATATTGGTGTTATGTTATATTTTAATAGAAAAATATTGCTGCATTAAATTACTTTATTATGCAAAATATATTATTGTAAAAAATATGTAAAAAGGTCACAAAAAATAATAAAAGTTAATTCTTATAACAAGTATTATTATATTAAATATCTATTAACAAAATTAATAAGTAAATAAATAATAATTTTTATTAGTAATTATAATTTTGAATCAACTATCATATCCTATCTCATAAAAAATCTTATCTTTTTAATCATTTACAACTATATTTATGGATCTGATCTTAATATAATATCCTTGATAATGGTTGAAATATTGATATAATTTTATATTAAAAAAAAATTTATTTCAACATCAATTATCTTCTGAAGATAAAGCAAGATTGATCTAACCTTTTTTAATTGGGACTTAGGGAACTGATTAGTTATTCATTTAAAATTGTGTATTAGGGAAAGGCTAATTCAATTAAAGCTCATCTTGTAATTCTATGTGCTATTTTTTAATCGGCATATAAACTTTATCATGTTAAATTTCTACACGAGCATACTTAGACCACTAAACTAATTTAATTAAAGAAAAATCAAGAATTGATGTAGCTCCAATTACTAACAATGAAGTCAAGTAAAATCTCAGATTAGAAAAACTAACACTATAGCTATTAAACATATCAGAATTTGTCATTTTCTCTGAAACAAAAATAAATAAAAGTATGTATATTAAAACCGATGCGAAAAGTCCCATAATAACTCCAATCGAATAAGTGTTACTAATTAAGATAATCTAATTTAGTTTATGGAATTAATTACTTTGATATTGCTATTGAAAACGGAATACCATAATACTATGGCACCTGTAGTCCATAATCCAGGCATCATCCCATTATAAATAGAGGAGTTTTCATAAGTCTGAAATGTTATGTATGACAAAAAGGCAGCCTAAATAATACCATTTAAGACCCAATACAAAAATATTTTAGTATTGAATAGTTTATGTTTAATTCCAATTTTATAAAAACTGGGATCTAAAATAGAGAATTATGTTTACTTGAAGTGAGTATATCACCAGAGAATTCTTCATCGAAAATACCATAAAATATAATAGGTAGACTAGTAAAAATCAAATTGTAACTTTGATAGAGTAATTAATCATAAAACATAACAGCAGAAAATCCATTGTTTAAAGCCCAACAATATTAAGGTAGGACTAAAAGGATATTTTTATAAAAATTGTAATATATAAGATTTGAGTTTTTTCTATAACTTTCTCTTCCATGATAAAGTATTAATCTTTTTAGTATTCTGAATTCACCAATACTATAATCAGAAGCTCTTGCTGCTTGTTAACCTTCAATTCCTTTGATTCCAATTCCAATATGAGCAGCTGTAATCATATTAACATCATTAGCACCATCTCCAATAGCTAGAGTAGNCTATTAACAAAATTAATAAGTAAATAAATAATAATTTTTATTAGTAATTATAATTTTGAATCAACTATCATATCCTATCTCATAAAAAATCTTATCTTTTTAATCATTTACAACTATATTTATGGATCTGATCTTAATATAATATCCTTGATAATGGTTGAAATATTGATATAATTTTATATTAAAAAAAAATTTATTTCAACATCAATTATCTTCTGAAGATAAAGCAAGATTGATCTAACCTTTTTTAATTGGGACTTAGGGAACTGATTAGTTATTCATTTAAAATTGTGTATTAGGGAAAGGCTAATTCAATTAAAGCTCATCTTGTAATTCTATGTGCTATTTTTTAATCGGCATATAAACTTTATCATGTTAAATTTCTACACGAGCATACTTAGACCACTAAACTAATTTAATTAAAGAAAAATCAAGAATTGATGTAGCTCCAATTACTAACAATGAAGTCAAGTAAAATCTCAGATTAGAAAAACTAACACTATAGCTATTAAACATATCAGAATTTGTCATTTTCTCTGAAACAAAAATAAATAAAAGTATGTATATTAAAACCGATGCGAAAAGTCCCATAATAACTCCAATCGAATAAGTGTTACTAATTAAGATAATCTAATTTAGTTTATGGAATTAATTACTTTGATATTGCTATTGAAAACGGAATACCATAATACTATGGCACCTGTAGTCCATAATCCAGGCATCATCCCATTATAAATAGAGGAGTTTTCATAAGTCTGAAATGTTATGTATGACAAAAAGGCAGCCTAAATAATACCATTTAAGACCCAATACAAAAATATTTTAGTATTGAATAGTTTATGTTTAATTCCAATTTTATAAAAACTGGGATCTAAAATAGAGAATTATGTTTACTTGAAGTGAGTATATCACCAGAGAATTCTTCATCGAAAATACCATAAAATATAATAGGTAGACTAGTAAAAATCAAATTGTAACTTTGATAGAGTAATTAATCATAAAACATAACAGCAGAAAATCCATTGTTTAAAGCCCAACAATATTAAGGTAGGACTAAAAGGATATTTTTATAAAAATTGTAATATATAAGATTTGAGTTTTTTCTATAACTTTCTCTTCCATGATAAAGTATTAATCTTTTTAGTATTCTGAATTCACCAATACTATAATCAGAAGCTCTTGCTGCTTGTTAACCTTCAATTCCTTTGATTCCAATTCCAATATGAGCAGCTGTAATCATATTAACATCATTAGCACCATCTCCAATAGCTAGAGTAGTAATATTTGGTTTAATTTTTCTGACTAACAAAACAATATCTTATTTTTATTTTGGTGTAACTCGACAAGCCAATATAGCCTCACATCTTTCAGCAATTTACATTAATTTTGATGAAATTTCTGGTTTTAGAGCAATACTTAAAGAATTGCCAGAAATCACTAAGGCGTTTTTATTATTATTTTGACTTTACTAAATAGCTTTATCTAATTAATTGCTTATAATTTCTTCATTAGATCCATCAACTATAAATTATTATAAAGAATTATTTAATAATTAACAAGAATAACCAAAATTGATAGCAGTTTCCATTTTATCTCCAGTCATTACCCATACTTTTATGCCAGCATCTTTTAAATATTGAATAGTTTGCCCTACATCTTCTTATAATTAATCTCCAACAGCTGTTCCACCAATAAGTTCTAGTTCTTATTCAATTTTTGCTTAGGAGTCCATTATTAAATTATCTCTATTTTCTACAGCAGCACATGCTTATAGATAACTTATTTCCCATTCTTTATAAATTTCTAAAGGTAATATTCTCTTGGTTAATAAAAGTGTTCTTAAGCCAATTGATGCAAACTCTTATAGATCATTCCAGGTCTTTTCTTGTAATTAAGGAGCATTTGGTTTCATTAAATTTCCAATAATTGAATCAGCTCCTTTAGTGTATAATATAATTTAATTAGATTCATCTTAAACAATTACAGACACTCGTTTTCTGATACTATTGAATTCAAATACATGTAACAATTAATAATTCTTTATGTCACCTCTTATATTGACTACTATACTTTTGGATGATTCTGACCTCTCAAAAGTATAATCACAATATCTTGCAAAATTTATTAAGGCTAATTCATCAGAGGATGATGTTTGATAAAAAAGTTACCCATTTTTTTTTTCAGTAGTAGCTGTATGACATAATGATAAGCAAAGTAAAAATTCATGTAATGGTCCCATTCCTGGATTTTAATTTAAATCATCAAAGAATGCTTTATCTCTAAAGTCTACATTTGAAACTTAAGCTAATTTTGACACTTCTTCAGTTGTTAATGTTACTTCCTTTCCATATGATTTTTCATTAACTGAAAGACATTTGAAATCCATTTGATTCTTAGTCAACGTTCCTGTTTTATCAGAAAAAATATAATCTACTTAACCAAGTTACTCAATCAAATTAGAAGATTGGACTACACTTCTAATATCATTTTCAGCTGAATATGTTCCTTAATCCATAGTTATCAAGATTCCTTAGAAATATTAAACTATTTCTAAAGAAACAATTAAAGAGATTGGAACAAAATTGGCCAAAATGAGAATCCAATTACCCCATTTTATCTAAATTAATTTTTAGTACTTACAAATAGATTTTTAATAAAATTATACTCAAGATCTGTATTTAAGATATCTAAATATGACAATTAAGAATTATGTATCTGTTACCAATAAGAATTTAAATATCCTCCTAACCCACATATGGTAATCTAAAAATTAATCATACAGAATATTTACTTAAAATAGAAATATTGCAATAACATACTAATTCATTGTTCTTTCTAAATGACTACTCTTAGGTTATATCTTAACATAATTAAGCATAATTTTTGAGTCATGTCCATTATAACAAACAATTCCATAAATAAAATCCACATCTCTTAAAACACTACCTCTTAATAAGAAATTCTTCTAACTCAAAGAAACTTGTTAATTATTAATTTCAGCAGATCCTGTAAATTGATATAAATATGGATTTGGCCTTTCATATTTAATTGTCATTCTTAATTCTGATAGAGCATTTTAACTTTATTCTTAAAAATATTATAGATTTTTAGGAATATTTTTTAATTTTAAATTGGAATCTCCATCTAAATTTTTTGTATCAATAAAGGCATTCCCTTTTTTATCTGATGTTTGCATAAGTAAGATATCAGCAGGTATTTGTTCATCCTTCTAAACTTTAATTAAATCTCCAATCCTTAACTCACTCCATATCACTTCTTTTGGAGCTTCATTTGCCCGAATTAAATAAGTTTTACGATTATTTTCATCATTGTCTGATTTATGCTTCTAGTTATCTTCAACAAAATCTTTTATCATAGATATGAAAATAAATATTGATAATGGTCCCATAATCACAGGTTAACCATTTGTTATACTAATTAATGGAATCATTTGCATGATAACAATGAATAAAAAGTAAAAATTCACTAACTTTGAGAACTACTATATCAAATTTAAAGGAATAAATGTAATAATAGATGGATATTTTGAGGTTGTTATTTTATTGTCTGGTACAGCCATATCTGGAATATTAGATACAATTTATCTGTCTAAAATATGATTTATAGATATGTACCATTCATTTAATTAGCAGGAGGTCTTACTTTTATCAAGTTCCATTTTTTTATTTTAGTTTCATTTTTATATGAATCAATATCCATTTAATTAATATATTATTCTAAAAAACGATAATGAGAGTACTAGTTATCGTAGTATTAGCCCTCACAGTGATGGCTGCACAAAAAAAGAGAAAGTACTTTTATAAACCATTCCTAAAATAGAACAACATCTAATCTAATTCATATTGACAACAAGGCATATTAATAATCACATGCATAAATTGAATATGATGTCGATTCTTTTACTAGTCCCAGAACTCAATAACTTAAGACAGCTTAGAGTAAATAAGACAGCAGCTTAAAAAGAGCTATCCTACACAGTCAATAACCAACTGGATTTGTTCAAATTTAACAAGAAACTGATCAATTCATTCTTATGAATTAAGATGAAGATGTATAAATTATTATGTATTTAGCTTTCTTCCGAATTAATGACTGAATAATAAATCTAATAGGCTTTATTAACTGCTGAAGACTTTAATAATGTTCCCAATATTGAGATGCAAGCAGAATCAAATTACTAAGCTCCAGATGTAGCTTAAGATGATGTCAATGAATCCTATTATATTCCAGTTGTTACAGAAGGAGATGGCGCATTAGAGGAAGTCTAGAACTCCGATGAAGAGCCCCAATAAAACCCAGATATTGAGATGCCTTCCTTGGATGAAGTATCATCATCATTCCTTCAATGATAGATTTAAATATCCAATATATATCCATATCATATATAATTTAACATATTTTTATTCATTTTACACATTCTTTTTAATTCTTCATGTTTTTGATATTACTTGATAAATTCATTTTACAATTATAATTTTAATTTATGAATATTAAATAAAATCTTATCTATTGCTATCATTTCTAATAATTTCATACTTAAATTATATACTCTCTCAATTTATATATATTTGATCAAACAATACCTAATTATCAAAAAAAATAGCCGTTATTAATTTTAATAAAAATCTTTCAATTATAAAAATTCTTATTATTCTGCTTGTATTTTATTGAGAAAAGGCTATTAACTAAAGTTCAAACAAAAATTAAATGAAATTCTTATATTTGATAATTTTTATAAAGAAATTTATTTAAATTTATAAAAAAAAATCAAATATATTTATTAATATTAATTTATTAAAGATGTTTCAAACAAAAAGAGAATTATGCTTTTAGTCATCTACCCTGAAGAAAATTATATTTTATTAAGCGATAAATAAATTAATTCCTATTACTATTTAATATTATTTTAAAGATTCGCATCTGAATAAAATTCTTAAAAATCGCACTCTCTCCATTTAGAAACAATTATAGTTTAAATAGAAGTACTCCAATGAAGAATAATTTCAGATCTTTCTAATATCCAATATAATCTAATCGATGAAGATGAGTTTATTAGATTATAAAAGGAATTCTAAAAAACAGATATAATTTAGTTATCAATGTATAAATGAAATTCAAAATCTTTACTGGAAGAATTTAGAATATCTTAATTATTATATAATTACATTGAAAGCATATATGATAGATTGATTTAAATATGTAATGGTAGCTCAAAGATTTGTTATTAAACTATAATACTCATAGCTTGTAAATTAGTTAAGATTTACTTATTGCTACTAAGAATGCATAAAATTTAATTTAATTCTTCTATTTATACTAAATACAGTAGAAAAAGTCTGCTTTATTAGCCTAGGTAAAAGGTTTTAATTAAGTTCTAAAAAATTATTGTTTTAATTTGGACAAATAATTATACTTTTTTTTAAACTGTTTAGTCCTTAAGACAAGATTAGATTAATCAAACTACCGAAAGTTAATGTGATGTAAAATATAATATATTCTAAAATAAAGTTGTGCTACAAAATATTAAATTATTTTTTATTTTTAGTTAGCTAGTTTTTGAAAAAGTATTATAATTTATTAAAAAAACTAGGAATGAAGTGAGAAATTTAAATGAACAATATATTAAGTCAGTGTATTATATCCATTAATGTATTAATTAAAGTTTAATTTATTTTTATAATTATTTAAGTACATAATTTCATATTTATGAATTAAATGATTAGTGGTATTATTTCTAAAATCTATTTCATCTAGATCATTTATCAAGGCTAAATAAATAAGACATAAATTAATATATGAAAATTTGATAAAATTAAACTCTAAATTATTCATTTTAAATAATATAACATATATATATTAAATATAGAATATTAATTCATTAAATTTTGAAGATAAATACTAGCATAGAAGTCAGTTTGGCCGAGTGGTCTAAGGCGGTGGACTTGAAATCCACTGGGTTTACCCGCGTAGGTTCAAATCCTGCAGCTGACGATTTTTTTATAAATATGATGTGAATTTGGATGTAATCTTGGTTAGCTTAATTTTTCAATTAAAGTAAAAATATGTATATGAATTAAATCTCATAGTTTTATTAGAATTATATGCTTTGAATTGCTCAATGTTCTCAACAGAATTTTATTATTCAGATACTTTTATTGCTTCATTTAATTTATATTATTTAATAAATTGATAAATGTATTTTTGAACATTTTACTTTAATCCTTAAAATTTTTAAATTATTTTATATATATAAAACTTAGAATAATAAATTCATATTATAATATTAACTTATAGTTTTTCTGAATGTTATTTATAAAGTATAATTGATCTGTTCACTAATTGATTACTTGTGATTTTGTTGTTATCTAATAATAAAGTATTGTTAATAATATATCAGAATTACCATTTAAAGTCTTGAGAACAATGATTTTGGAAATTTTTTAAATGATACAATTGTTACATTTAATACTGAAAAAAAAATTAAAATTTGTTAAAGCTTCAGATTAAAAGTATGATTGATTTCAAGAAAAGATGGCCCAAGATGAAATGTAAAAAATAATAATAGCGAAAAGACACTTGTTCTTTTAATTATAAAACTTCATTAATATATTATTATTATTATATATTAATTCTACATAAATTAATAGTTTCTCTATTGAATGCTTATTTAAAGGTAATGAACAAATAACAATTATAAATCATAAATAATTTTTGGATTTATTTTACTAATTATATATATAAATGTATTAATATTAAATAGAACATAAAATTCACCTTATGAATGAAAGATTTAATCAATAAAGTTTTATCAAAAGAATATTGAGAATTTATATTCAACACTGTTTACAAAATGATAATTTGAAAAAAATTAGAAGGTTTAAACAATCAAAATAGAAATAATCTAATTCTAGTTAAGATTAATTAATAATTTTAAGTAATGATTATATAAAAATCTAATAAAAAAAATAATATCAATTTAAAAAATTCATGATAATTTTATTGTATTAACTAATGGTCATATATCTCTATATTTTTCTAAATTAAATCATAATAACTTTTAGAAATTTCAAAAACTAAAACCATTATTATTGTTTTTATTTTTAGTATTATATAGTATTAAGAATTTATTTTATATATTTTTTATTGTTTTAGTATTGTAGGGATTGTTGCGTTTATTTGCTTGCTTTAAATTTTAAATAAGTTTAATTGTAAGATTTATTAATAATAAATTGAGAAATGAATTAAGAAAAAAAGTCCTTCTTTGATTATACCTCTCCTTTTGAGTTGAAAAGGCCTATTGAAATATTTTCAAAATCCTTAAAGGATTAATTTTATATTCTCAAAAATGATAAGTTTAAGTTAAAGACTCTAGTACTTCAACGAAATTACTTGATCAAATTTAGTTCTAAGGTATAATCTGTTTTAATATTTTAAAGAAATCGAACCAAAAATATTACAATATTACAAATGCTTTACTTGAATTAGTGAATCATGCTCAATTAGGAACAGGAATTTCAATAACTAAAAACGGAGCAAATTTTACATTTTATGGAATTGTTGACCATTGGTACTCTTATATGAAAAAATGGTGTATATAACCAAACTTTTAGAAAGAGTACTGCATGATTAAACTAATTGGAAAGGGCAGTTTTGCTAAGGTAAAAGGAAAATTGATATTTTAGGTTTATAAAATTTAAAGTTTAAGTGATAAAAAAGAATTTGCTGTGAAGTTATTTGATAAAACCACTTTTAAAACACAAGATAGACCAGCTTTACTTAAAGAGATTGAATTAATGAGAATAATGAATCATAAAAATGTTGTTTCAATACTTGAGACATATGAAAACGAACAATATATATTTATTGTATAAGAATTATTCAATGGAGGAGAGCTTCATTAAGAATTGAAAAAGACTCGAACTTTTTCAGAATATGAAGCTTTCATTATTATTTAATAAGTGATTGAGGCTTTACAATATATACATTCTCATGGTATAATTCATAGAGACATTAAACCTGAAAACATTATTTTAAGAGAATAAGGAATGATAGAATAGGTAGTGTTAGCTGATTTTGGATTGGCTGATTATTTTAGAAAGGATTGTAAATATATGTTTACAAGATGTGGTACTCCTGGATTTGTAGCACCAGAATTATTGCAAGATAAAATTTATGATTATAAAGTTGATATATATAGTTGTGGAATACTTTTCTATTATTTGTTAGTAGGCAAAGGACCATTTGATTCAAATAATTATGATTAGACAGTTATGGCAAATTTTAATGGATAAGTAGACTTAACAAAATTACAATTTTCAATTGAATGTCTTGAATTATTAAGAGGAATGCTAGATCCAAACCCTATAAAAAGATACTCAATAGATTAAATTAAATAAAGTTAATTCTTTAGAAAACATACAACAGTTTTCTAATAATATGGAAGTTAGAGCAGTTTAGGCAGTATACCATCTTAAGGGGACTCAAGAACAACTTCACCATTATAAAGTCCAAAATAAGAGGCTAAGTCCCCTAATGATTATAAGAGTAGATTTGTAAATCCATATGCCTCACCTCTGTAATCACCAACTAGATAAAATGCTCCAAGTTTCTCTCCTTTATAAGGTCCATTTGGGAAAAATTAAAATTTACAAAGAATACCAATACAAATATGAATTAATGATAATATCGAGTTATAAATC